GTGAACCTCTTTGATCCAGATTTTTGTAGGCAACCAACGGTTCATGGAAGGATTATGTGGAGAGCCACTAGAGTTGTTATATTGTGGTCAGTGTGGGAGGAAAGAAACAATGGGATCTTCAAAGGTAGTTGTAGATCCAAGGAAGAGGTTGTGGCAGGAGTAACTACTAGGTGGTGGAAGAGGTGTAAATCCAAAGAAACAATAAGAGTATATAATTGGTTTATATTTTAACTTTTTAAAAATCAATCAAATCAAACTCGACCTGAGTTGGTCACTTTTCTAGTATTTCCGGTCGGCTTTGGTTCAGCAATTTTCCAACCCAACCAAATTAGGTCAATTTCGATTTGGTCATTTGTAAATAGACTAAAATTGAATGAACCCAACCATATATATAGCTTTTAATACAAGAAAGCGAGAAAACTCCCATATTTCTTAATCTAAAAGATTTTATAACATAAATTTAGTTTTAATAATACCAATATAATTTATTAAATTTAATTTTAATTTATAAGTTTTAACCTTTTGAACAAACAAACCTAATCAAAAATAGACCCAAATCGATACAAACCGAGTTGGCAGGCTTTCACTAATAGTCGGTTTTTGCGTGACAAACTCCCAACTTGTCCAAGTCGATTTGGTTGGTGAAATAGCATACAATCAAACTGAACCAATCCTTGAACTCCTAATTTCAACCAAATTAATAGTCTAATCTTTAATAAATAACAATAGTTTAATATCCAATAATTATTGAAAATTTATACAAAAAATACACAATTATTGAAAATAAATAGATACCTAATAAAGATACAATAATTAAAAAAAAATACAATAAACACTGAAAATATATTAAATTAGTCAATAAATAGTGTAATCTCAAATAATAGTTTAATATCTAATAAATATTAATCAATAAATTATTAAATATAAGAAATACATAATTACTAAAGATAAATTTATAACAAAAATACAATAAATTCAATTTCAAAAGTTAAACAATAATTGTATAATCTCCAATAATTATTGATAATTTTCTGTTAAATAACAAAACAAAAATAGATTTATAAATAATTATTGAAAATATAATTATAAAAAATACAATAAATAACTCCTAAAAATACAATAAACATTAATTTTGGTGTATATATAAATATATAATGAATATACACTATTATTGTGAAACTATTACTAATAAAAACTATTTTTTTAAGTTATTTTCTGTGATTATTAAATGATATAAGTGAAATTAGTTATTTATAATATTATTTAGTTATTTAAATAATATTGTTATTTAGATTTTGAAAAGTATTAATTATTTATTGAATTTAATAATCCATAAAATTATATTTAGTGCTATTATTACATAATTCGTTTTTTATTTTGTAAAATATTAAATTATTATTGATATGAATATTATGAAATATTTTATAATTATTTTTCTACTTTAGTCATGTTAAATATTTTTAATTTCGTTATTTTAATTATTTAAAATTTAGTCATGTTGAATATTTTGTTATTTAAATATTTAAATAATATGTAAAATATTTAAAATTTTCATTATTTGAATTTTATTTATTTTAATGTTATTACGTAATATTAAATATTTTGTTATATAATTATTTAGCTATTTTTAATGTTTTGTTATTAAGATATTTAGTTATTGAAGTATTTAAATAATGTTTTGTTTTCGAATGTTATTTTTTTATTATTTGAATAGCATTTAAATTGAACAATTTATAAATTTATAATTTATATTATAGTGTACTATGACCTTTAGACAAAAACCCCGTTAACTTTCCATTGAAATCCACCGTTATAATATTTTTTAATTCCCATATTACCCTTATAACAAAAAACACTGTTTATCTTCTCCGACCTCATGATACGCGAACATCAGCGGCGATAAGGAGAGGGAATGGGAGATTGGGAATTAACAGTGTCGTACAAGACAATCCTCTGTAAGTCCTTGCGCCGCTTCCATTTTCCTCTCTTCAGCACATCCTGGAAGAAGCTCTGCTTCATCATCTCCTTGAGAACCACCGGTGGGAATGGCTTCGTGTTGAAGAACATATTCGAGATCCAGCTTCTGATTGTCTCCTGTCCCAATTGTTACCAAAGATGGGTCGTCTTTAGGATAATCCAGGGGCTTTGGGCCGCCCAAGGACAACAAGGCTATTTACAGTATGAAGAAACACTGCTCAATCAGTATCTGCACCAACTCAGTGTCGTCGCCGGGGATCGATCAAATCGGTCGTTGATATACACTTCTTTAGATTTTTCCCTCGCTTTGTTTACCGCGCCTCTGTATTTTTCCTCAGCATCAGATCCTCAGCAAACGCTTATGGCATCAAACTTGGTTAGATATATCACTTCGTAGTAAAATGGGTTTGCACTGCTATTTTTTACTATAGCCCAATAAATGTCTTCAAACTGAAGATCAAAAGTTTCATCTGTGTAAGTCCCATAGTAAAAATGTGCTCGGAGAAGGACGCGCTCTCCCTTCCCCACATCTATGGAGTAGCAATTCTTCTTTCCGCTACGGAATACTCTTCGAGTTTTGAATGGACGATCCACTGAATTATCTACATTTGGTACAGTTTCCTTTTCGCCGCTTTTAATGTAGGGATCATCTCCTACCCATGCGATATCGTTTGCGTCAATGAAAGAACAGAGCAACCGCAATCCATGCTCAGGAATACTGCATTCGATCGCATATATATACATTACGGAAAGAAAATGAAATGGAATGGATTATTACCGAGAATCACACAAGAAAAAATAATATATAGATGCTCAGAAGAACTTTCCCTCACTTTAGCTTTTTCCCTCACGTTGATCAAATCTGTATTTTTCCCTCACTTTGTTTACCAATCAATAGTGAACATGTTGGTTCACATGCATCCTTTCACTAATTCCTGATTGACTCGTTGCTTCCCTGGATCCGGTCCGGGCTGCCTAGCACCCCAGCTAGATATTGGTGTCATGGAGATTGAGCACCTAGGCGCAGACATCGCTTATTTTGACAGGTAGAGAACTTGCCGATCTCCCTTTCTCTCCGCCGTCGGAAGAGCAATCCCTCCTCCCCCACTTCCACCGCCGCCTTCGCCTTCAAACCCGTCGCCGTCTTCCACCGCTGCAACTGATTGTAGCGGCGGATTCGAACTCAACGGCGTTGAATCCACCACCGGCCTCTCTCCATCTTTTATTATTTGTTTTCTTTTTCTATTTCTGCTCCTTCCCACGGTTGTCGCGCCCTCTATCACAACCAGTTGCTGCCCCCTCTGTATTTCCGCCAAATTAGTCGCTACCCCCGGCCCAATTCGAGCACTCCCTACAGAGGAAGAAGAGAGATCCGGGGAGAGAGGGAAGGAGAGAGAGATGTGGATTACTGCCGCCGTTGAGGGAGGGGAAAAGAAGAGAAGAAAGAAAAAATAGAAAATAATAGGTTAAATAGGTTTTAATAGAAAAAGGGCAAGAAAAAAATAGAAAAAGTTTAGTGAGTTATTTTGGTAATTTAACATATTTTGTCTGACTTAACGGTCAAAGGGGGTCTTTCTCATGGTCATAATACAGGGGGGTCTTTGTCGCAAAATAAAGGACAGGAGGGTCTTTGTCACAGGCCCCATAGTACAGGGGGGTCTTTGTAATTTACTCACTTTTTTAATTGAAATTTTCTTTAGATAAATATAGATAAAAAGTGGGGGAGAAGATAAATAGGAATTAGATATATTTTATGAGAGAATCTCTCTACTAAATTAGAGATAATTTAAAAGATAAATAGGAGTTATAGATAATTTAGGAGATAGATAAATAGGAATTAGAGATAATTTAGGAGAAAGTGGGGGGGAAATGGTGCCACTTGGCTAAACAATAGAAGAGCAAATCCTTCTATTTCTTTATGGTTGTTAAAAATAGTTAAGCCCATATTATTTCCACATTGGTTTAATGGGCAATTATGTAGAACTAAAAAAAAATAAAAAATTCAAAAAAAAAAGGAAATTAAGGGGGATTTGTATAAATTATCATTCTCTCTATGTTATATATATATAGAGAGAGAGAGATAATAAAGATGCCTATGTTAATGAGACATATTTGAATAACATTTGTATGAACTGTCCAATAAAACATGATCACAACATCAATGCAATGCTGTTTTGGATTTAAACCAATAAGAGATTGTAATGCTTGCATGCAAAATCCATACAAACATTACTACATGACCGTATAATATATAGTGCCCATTTGGGAGGGTTTCCAATGAAAGGTTGTACCTTTCCAATGTAGGCCCCACACAGGAATTACACTACAAGAAAATCGATCAATTGTCGACTTAGGCTTGAAGACCGCTAACTTTGGTCTAAGGCGGCGGTCTTCAATCTACCCCCTAAACCTCTGCCAACTTAGGTCAAGACCGCCGGCTTAGATAGAAAAGACCACCGCCTTTAAGGACCGATCCAATGCGGTTCAATCATCCTTAAGCCGACAGTATGTCATAATCGCCAGCTCAAAGTTAATAAAGGTGACATTCGCTGCCTTAGGTCCATCGATATATTGCTTTTGTTTTTAGGTGGCGGTCAAGACCGTCGGCTTAGAGTTCTTTGGACCGCCTCCTTAGGTCCATCGATATATTGCTTCCGTTTTTAGGTGGTGGTCATGACCGCCGTCTTAGAGCTCTTTGGACCGCACCTTAGGTCCGTTTGTATATTGCTTCCGCTTTTAGGCGGCGTCTTAGAATTCTTTGGACCGCCGCCTTAGAGCTCTTTTATGTCTAAGGCAGCGGTTGTATGGCTACCAACTTTGATTTTTGTATTTTTATTATTTATATCAATCTCAACATTTTTTTGGCACTTGTTTAATACAAATCTCATGATAGATAATGCATAAAAAATCAATTTAAATAAAAAACTTTAAATTAAATTATTAATTATTATAATATCCAAAACAAATTGCTTAAATACAATATCCAATTAACATAAAAAAAAGTACAAAAATCAATATAAATGCAATTTAAAAGATCTATTTCCATTCAAATATTTTCTTACCAAAAAAACTAATACATTCGAATCAGAAATTAATACATGTTAAGTTTCAAATGAATACAAATTAATACATGAGAAACGTCATGGCATTGTGCTTGTGTGGGGGCTCAGGAACAATAGTTAATGGAACACCAGCAACCAAAGAGCTATGAAATTCCTTTCTCACAAGTTCATTCCAATTCCTTTCTGAGATGTCAACTCTAACTATGCCCAAACTTGCAGGATCTGCTAACCTACAAGAACGGAACAGAACAGGTATTTTAAGCCATTTTGAATGATAGCAAGTACCTTCTTTATGACTAGATTATATTTCCTGGATGCATGAAGTATAGAAAGAACACAATGAAATGGTAGGAAAAAAGTCCTAACAAAGAGAAAGAAATAGATAAACTTTAAATGGTTTAGAAGAGTTAAATGTTTTACATTATTATATTAAAACTTGTCAACTTCAAGCATAAGAAAATTTAACAGAAAATAATGGAATATTGTTGCCGACAAAAATTGCTAATAAAATCAATACTTCCTAATATAGCCCAAGTTAGATGCCAAATGTCCTCCAACAGTAAATCTCTGACATCAGGTACAAGAAATATTATATGTAAACAAACCTTTTATTCGTATATATGTGCATTTAATGGGAAAAGTCAAATCTGACCACTACAGGTCCTTGGGAAAACTTTATAAAAGAATGTTGTGCATGAAAGCCAATGAATGAAAATGTCTCGACACAAGTTTGAAATTTGTATTTTGATTTCATTTTTAAGTTCCCATCATACAAAAAAGTGTTTTAACAGTTGCCCAATTTGAAGACTGACCAGTCATCTCTATAAATTAGGCATTTGAACTTGGAATCAACAGACCTGGTTCAAATTTATTCTCCTGCAATGAAAATGTACATTGCAATCTAGCCTGACACAAATATTTAAGATTTGGGGTTGTTCAATTGACATCAGATTACATGCACAAAACACTGAATGAATACCGTATTTGTTAACAGAAACAATTTGCAAATATGCAATATATATTTCTCATTCTATATATTCAATCATTAAGTATAATTTTCTTGTAGGAGATTATAGAATTTTACCACATCATTGTTTCATGAATTTCTATCAATTAAGGAAGCAAAGAAAATGATGATCTAAAGCAAATATGCAATGTGATTGCATTATCACCATATGGCATGTTTCCAATTTGCAAAAAGTAAAAGTATTTCAGAAAACAACTTTGGAATATATAAACAATCAAATAGAGCCAAGGCTAAGAACTGCAAAGATATTTTGCATAAAAACCAAATATGGAACCTGTGAGTGATAGCTTGAGCAGGATGCAAATATATCAGAACCATGTATGTGCAAAAGATCTTGATTGTTTGCAGAAGCAAAGGATACACCACCACTACCTGTTGATGCAGTATGTTGTTGTTGTTGCTGGCGATAAGATGAATATGTCCCTCCTAAGCTGAAGCCAAGAGATCTCCCCATCTATATAATTTAAGCAAGAAATTATGAGGCTAAACTAAAGTTGAAAAATAAGACATAATAACTTTCACAAAACACAAGGAAACTCAATTTTCCATCAAACATGACTCACAGAGAAGTGCTGGGACTGCATCATGGACATGGCATTGTCATTAAGTTGTTCTTTTGGTGTAGATCCATTCTATAACCATTGTTCCCACCTTCATAACAATTACAAACAAATAAATACCAACGTACAATCCCAAATTCCTAATCCTAGTGGAAAGATAAACATGCATTCCAGGTGTAGTCAAAATGCACTAAAGTTGTGTCAATACTTGAGATAAAGAGAAGTGGAAAATACAACATTGAAATGTAAAATGGAAAATGACAAAATGATATTGCACCAAATTACAATATGAACCAGGATAACATCATATGAACCCATTGTAGAAATTATTCAAATAGCTATGATAACACAATAAATAACAAACATGTTAAACAGGACCAAGAGATAAACCATTCGGTACAGTCAAAGCTCAAAAGATGTGTGTTATGATTGAACACAGACAAGACATTACTTTATCATAAATGCAGATTCTATAGCAGAAGTGGAAGTGAAGAATACATTCATTTCAAAGGCTGAAAACAGGAAAAAAAATAGAATAAATGAGATTCAGAGACAGGATCATGCTTTTTATTGATCAACAACAAGAAACTCAAAAATAGAATAAACAAAACACCCGATGAGTTAGCTGATCTTCAATCAATCTGAATAGACATTGAACTCTCTATAAGCCAGAAATCTTGCATTCCTGATGTGGTGTCATAGGTGCAGGGGCCCTCATAGTCCAACATGTCTACAACATGCATCAACCTCAACACCTGAATAAGTGCCATAATCTCTCCTCATTGAATCTCCTTGGCCAGTGGAGCCAGACTGCACAACAACAGTTTAACCCTTATCTTGGAGAGCACCACATACTCCTGAGCAAACCAAGTCCTTGTCAAGTAGCCACCGAAGTTACAGCTTGACTACTCCATGTAAGATCATCCTTTTCAGGATCATGCAAAATTCACCAAGATTGTACTAGATGTTTCCTACATGCCCCTCAGCCTCTGAAATTAGTTTTTCCTTTTCTTTTTATTTTTGAAATTAGTGCAACATCTAAACTTAGCCAAAACACTTGGATTTTTAGTTTTCTATTATTCCTTCTTCATTAAGGAAGCAGCTAACAAGAATTCAAATCCCTCGATGGTCCAATTCCTAGGATCCACATTGTACATTTTTTTATGCATAAGCAGTTAACGTGTCTTTGTTACAAGCACTTTAAGATATGAGAATTTCATAATCTGGATTATGAAAAGTCCCACTTACCTTTCACCCTTACTTTCCTGACATAAATAAATGATTAGTGCCACAATTGACAAGAGGAAAGAAAAACTTTCTCAACCTCTATTTTTATTTATTTTATAAATAACTAAAACCAAAACTTTCTTATCTCTTTTCCACAAGCAAAGATAAAATACCTCAAAAACGATACTAGACCAAGAATGATATATAATTTATGGCAACAAGACATTCTAAAAGTAAGTAATATCGATCGCACAAAGAACATCATCTTTTCAATCTAGATCCAAAAAACAATAGAAAAAACACCTTTAAGACTAGGTAAAGCTGGAAAATCTTCATTTTGAATGCTAAATTCTTGGTTTTATTGGACAACACCAACGCTTTGCTTTCGTAGCGAACCTGCAAGGAGTAGGTTAAACTATATCATGTTGCAGGAGAAGCAACTCCAAACAAGAATCCAAAAGTAGAAAAAGTTAAATTATTAACTACCCATTATGGAAAGAGAGTGAACATTTTTTTATCAGCAACAAAGAACATTAATTTATTTATATAAACAAATAGTGTACATATTCATTTATAATAAAATAAAATTTATTAAAAGCAATAAAAAGAAGTAAGGAAGGTGACCAAAAGTTACCCAAGAGAAAGAAAAAACATATGTACTCCCAACCAAGCTACAAAACCAAAAAACAACCAAGCAAAAGAAACACCCCAGACGCAAATTCTCCAACCACATGGCAGCCTAACAAACATCTTCCATACAACAAGCTCAAACAAGCAAAAAACCAGTCTGTCCGAAAAACAAAGAAAACAAAACCCCATCAAACACTAAATATCCAGCAATCTAGAACATGAACTCTGTACTTCGTCTTAAGAACTTCCATTGATTTCATAACCATCTTGCTTGGCCCAATCCCAAATAGACCGATGGCTTCTGAATCTTCTCACTGCAAGAGGAGCCTTCCTGAAATTCTTCAAACCCAGAATTAATCCACCCTAGCTCCAAAACTGTGTTCTAAAAAAGCTGACATGCAAATGACTCTTCACCCTCTTCTTCGACAGCCCCTACAGGTCCAACTGATGTAGGACATCATGTATTTGTACTGTATATTGTATTTACAAATCTTGTATTTGTATTATACATATTTATATTTGAACTCTTCCCAAACTGAGCCTTAACGACAACAAGGGGGAGTATTAAAAGAGGAGATGCAAAGTCCCATGAGCCTATAGAAGCAAAAGCACATTAAGAAGAACCAGAAAGAGATTTCCTCAACATAAACCAAAAACCAAGAAAAAACAAAAAAAAGGGGCATTGCATGTACAAGAAGCAATATGTTGGTTGAACACAATGAATTGTATTAATGCAACACAAGGGAATACTTTTTTGAGTAATAAGAGAAATTCTATCGAAAAATATTTGTTTTTTAAAAGGAAACGATATATTTTATAGATACTTGCAGGAAGTCCTTCAACCAGATGGTTCGATTTGCTCTATCTGAGTAATTAAACGATCTGCTCTAGCCTTCAGTGTTTTCCTTGGTGAAGTTAGTCATATCTATGATTTTTTGGTATTCTTTAAAGCCTTTAGTATGTGCAATCTTTTTCTTCAATCGGGAAACCTTATTCCTTTGCTCCTTGTACCGCTCAAGTTAGTCATATCTATGATCTTTTGGTTGTGACATTTGCAGCACATGACAATTGGGGAAAAAAAAGGCTAAGCATCTACCATGTAATTTTCTTAAATGCTTAGATTTGATCACTAAAGACGAGTATTTCTTAAAAGCTTAAAGCATCTACCGGTTGAAGGCTAAGCATCTTCCAATTGAGGAAAACCTAAAAATAACAAAAAACAGATAAAATGGAAGAAGAGATTTTCAAAAAAATAAAAGCTTAGAGAGAGATGTATACCAAATATTGTTACAGTTAGTCATATATCAGATATTGATTTGATCACTAAAGACGAGAAAATAAGCGGAGCAAACCTAGATTTTCGGATGAAGTCGTCAAGTGAACGAAAGAGACAGAGTTTAGTGAGGAATAGAGAGAGGGATGAAATTTTTTTTTACCTTCATACGAAATAGAGAGAAGGATGAGAGGCAAGAGAAGAAAATCCACGCCGCTGCGTCACCTTTGCTAGTTGGAGAACAAAGAAATAAGAAGTCGACTGAGAGAGAGAGAGAGAGAGAGAGAGAGAGAGAGAGAGAGAGGGACGGGAAGAAGAAGAAATGAGAAAGAACAGAGGAAGAGGCGGGAAAGGAAAATTGAGTGGTCTCTGCCGCTTTGGTCTGTCGAACCGGAATTTAGACCGGTTTAATTCAGGTTTGGTTATAAAATCCGCCGCGTCAGCCTTTTAAACCAATGTAGATGGCGGTCTTCGAAAGCCTGCCGCCTAGATATGCCTATTGCCGCAGTCACAAAGACTGCCGGCTCTAAACCGCCGGCTTTAATCCTTTTTCTTGTTGTGAAAACCTAAAAGTTGAGTTAAAAGACCATCCCAAATACACTTTATTGAACCAATAGATTGGCTTTGTGGTGAAGTTGTTTTTTAGTAGCTTCTTCAAAACAGCTGAACCAAAGCTGTGAAAACTCTCCCAAATGGGCCCATAAAGCTCCCATTGACAGGTCACGAACTCTTACACAACTCAATCAAAGCTGTGAAAGCTCTCCCAAATGGACCTATAAAGCTCCCATTGGCGAATTGTGAACTCTTACACTTCCTTATTTCTTGAACTTTCATTTCGTGGGCGACAAGTGTCTAATTACACAAACTGAATAATGATGCACAAATAAAGTGCAAGAGATCCGAGATCATGTCTCCAAGCTAGGGCTGTTTTAGTTCTCCAAGTTAGGCTTTATTCTTTTAATTCTTGTTCATCTTGAGAAATAATGAATAATATTGAAATGTTTGGTTACAAAATTATTGCTATAGGCCTTATCTTTTTAGAATGAAAAATCAGCCAACAACACAAAATTTAAGGTAGCATGCAACATAAAAAACAATCATGCCCCATCTTGCTTATTTTCATTATTTAAAGAAACTTTGCTAGTGGTTGTTAATCGTTGGCCTAGGTCTACAAAACTATCGCCATGGATGTTTATTGCCTTATTGGCAAACTGCCATGGAAACTTACGCCAACAGATATTGATCGTTTGCCATCCACCGATAAACATCTATGTTGACAGTTTTGGAGACTAAGAAAGACAAATTATAATTGTTGGCATAGAGTTTTTTTTTGTTAACAATGAAAATGAGCAATATATGGCACTTGTCATTCTAAATAAATCATTTTTTTAGAAAAAAAAAACATTTGTTCCATATCAATATTTTCTCATCATGCCATTTTTTACCAAGTCTTGTTCATTTTAGAATTTCATCTTGGGTAAGAATGAGAAAGAACTAGAGTTAAACCAAACATGACCTAAAAGCCTAGTTCAACACCAAATCCAATTATAGATTTTAGATGTTTGAACTTGTATTTGATTAATAATGGTATTATCTGTGGATTTAACTCCATATAGTATGTGTTTGGAATCGTGGATGTTTATTTACTAAACGTTTTGTACTTGATTTGTTTGGAAAACCGAGAAAAGTAATAATGAACCTGTTTATTGACACTTAGGCACCATTAGGCACCACATCAGCAAAACAATGAATAAACGCCTACCCATTGGGAGAAGCAGTAAAGTGAAGCTTCCCCAAACGGTAGTCGTGCACATAAATTGAAGCCTACTTTTGCAAGTCCCTATGCATACGGATTCACATAATGGGAGAAATGTTGAAGTGACACCTATGTGGCATCCTTTATTTAATAAATGCCCACGATTCAAAACACCCTCATAATCTATCTCCATCAATATTGGAGATCAATTAAAGAAAATAATATTTTATATATAATATAATTATGTATATCAATAGATATACAACAAGTTTATACATGATAAATTTAATACCTTATGTTATTATACATATATGTTGCTACCAAATATGGGGCCGAGAACAACAAGGGAATTTCGTTGGTGTTCGAGGCCGGCAGGTCCAACCTGTAAGTAGAAGAAGAGTACATGTCAAAGGCCTTGGGTGTTGAGTGTTATTCTAGGGGCTGAGACTCTAACGGTCAAGTTAGCCATGTGCCAAAGAGGGGTCAAACCAGGCTTGAAATGAGGGTTCATAGCTTAGTCCTTAATTGCTAAGGATAATTCTCTTGGTATTCTGAATGCAATAGAGTAAGTTTGAGTAAGTGTCTTTACCTTGAGATGAGCACCCCCTTTTTATAGCTGACCTTGCCTTGGAGTGGTTGGAGGCAGTTGTAATGTGTGGCCATGATTTAATTTGGCCGATGCCACGTGGCGCAATTCGAGGCCTGTCAAGTATACCTACATCACTTACCCCCCACTCTCAAGGCCGTAAGTGGTTGAGGTCGGGTGGTGCACTGAGTGGAGACCTCGGCCTTGGCCAAAGAGAGTACTACGTAGCTGCGTGGAGGCGTCGAATGGCGTGTTGGGTGGAGACCTCGGCTTCGATCGAAGAGAGTATCATGCAGTTGAGTGGAGACGTTGATCTCGGTTGTTGAGGGCTCTTCTTGGTGACTATGTGGTGATTGCTTCATTGCTTGCTTCTCACCTCATTGGAGGAACACAATGGGCCAAGAACGTAGGACCATGGCCGGCACTGGTGTGGGACACCCGCATTCGTTGGTCGTATTCCGTACGGGTGTCGTTGTCATCAAGTGTGGGTCTGTGCTAGGGACGGGCATCGATGTCGATTGGTCATGGCCATGTGTAAGACGATGTGGAGGGTCACCCTGTTTGGGTCGCTCTTGACCCAAAGTTAACAGGTGGACCGCTTTATTCCTTCGGCGGCGTCTTGTCTCCCTAAGGTCGATGCCACGTGTAACGTGTCGATTCGAGTTGTCAGGTCAGCTATTTCGCGGTCATTGGATCAAAGAGCAAGTGAGGGCTCTTTCCAGGATGTACTATATTTCGGGGGGCTATAGGGTTACAGTCCCCTGTGTTGGTGACCGGTAGTGGCAGCCTGTTAAGGGGGAGGTGTGTGTGCATGAGCACTACCTCCACCTCGGCCTCTATTTCCCTTTGCCTCCTCTTGTCCCTAAAATCCTCAACCACTACAACATTTTCCTCAACCAACTTGCTTCGAACGCAGTTAGGACCATAGTGGTTGTGTTGGTGATGGCTCGCCTTCGAGGTGTGTTTGTGACCCTAAAAGTCTTATGGGGTATATTCTCCTTGAGGAAGATCCCAATGGGGATGATCTATGGTACTACCAACGCCGATGAGGTAGGGTAGTGGACAATCCGTCATCCATCCACAACTGGAAGAAGAAATATTTCTTCGTTTCTTCGTTCATTGTCCAAAGGGATGGTCCCTCCGGTATGACTGGGGGACGCCATACTCATTGGCCGAGAGGATCAGGTCGTACAATAGCGAGGAGGAGTCGACCGTGATGACTCGGATATGGGCTAACTAGGATGATTCACATCAGGTTCTTAAACAGAGGAAGCCTTGGTGTGGGTTGGCCTTAGCTCTGCCCCCTCGGTATGGGCACTCCTACTGTTGGCTAGCTATGTTGTCTGCTTAATTTTCCTTCTCCTTCCTTTAACACAGTCTTTCTTTGTTGCTGAAATGGACGGGGACTTGAAGGACAAACTCATGCAAGTAGCAATGGCAAAATCTAGGAAGGTCCCGGCTGAGAGACCTCCAAGGAGGTTGAGCAAGAAGGAGCTGCCGAGGCCGAGAGGAGAAGGGTGGCCACACTCAAGCGGCCAACCGATGCCCCTCAAGATTAGAGGGTGAAGACGTTGGCGATGAGGGACCACCGAGCTGAGGGTGTCGCTGGAGGTTCTCGACAATCGGGGCCTCATTCCTCATATCCACGCGACGACATCCCGTTGACGGTACGCCGACTATTCTACCCGAACTGGAACATTAGGGAGGGGTGACTCTCTCAGCAACCCAGGCATCGGCTGAGCTTTGGTCACTGGGATTGCTTCCCATGGGGGATTAGCACTCATCGATGCAGCTCTCCATCCAGGCCGCCCAGAACACTCTACTCGATAAGCTGGCCAAGGTAATTCTTGATCTTCACTTGCTTGGTGCTATTATTCTGGTACTTAGTTTTTTTTAACTGACGAAGGTTTATTGTGTCTTCGTAGACGTTCTCATGCGTCATTGGCTTATGTGACAAGGTGGAGGTTTTGCTGTAGTAACTCTGATTGTCATAGGAGGAGAACAAGCAGCTGAAGCACCAACTGGTCGAGAAGTGGACCAGCCGAGAGGCCACTGTCAAGGCGGCCCGTGAGGAGCATGGGCACCCCAAGAAACTTGAGTCTGAGGTGACGGATAAGAGAGAGCAGCTGAGGGCTGCCAGGGACTCATTGGACGGGGCGGAAGAAAAGCTTCAGGAGGCATCCGTTCGAGCCATGAAGGAGTACAAGGCCTCTGAGGCCCATAAGGACGAGTTGGTCGATTTTGGCACCGCTTCTTACTTGGAGGGCATTGAGGATTATGTCTCAAGTGTTGGCGCTCCTCCCGGATTTTGATGTCAACTAGTTAGGGATTCGTCCTCCAAGCCAACAAGCAGTGGCCAACGAGCATGTTGACATCGAGGCTAAATGAAGGCACTCACATAGGGCTGAGGCTCCCACTGGACAACTCTGTAAGGGGCTCGGCCTCCCCCATCAGGGCCCTCTTTTTTTGTAAAGATTTGAGTGCACAATGAATACACTTAATACACTTGAGTTTTTTTGTCAAACTTGTGCCTTTTTCTTTCTTTTTTCCTCGTATTTTCCTTTCTTTTTATGTAAGGGGCCAATGCCCTCATTGAAGAGGCATAATTTGCAAAGAAACTCATAAATCCTGGCTTAGCTACCTACGAAGGTGTTCCTCTTTAAGGTTGTTAAGTCAAGGCTGACTCTCATCGCTGAGGTCTCGGGACCCACTTCCTTAGTGAGAAGGAAGGGAGGTGATGCCTTAGCCTGCCAGACGTATTTTTCTTTAAGGGTTTAGAGACCGGACTCGCATGTGGCTGAGGCCCAGTGAATGGTGCTCAGTTGAGGCCGTGGAGTACCTTTGCCTTAGTGAGGTAGCATTATTCGTTTAGTGTGTTTGTTCATCGCGTTTTGTGTTAAGCGGTGGTTTGATGTTAGCTCCTTGGCTTAAACAAAAACTCACTTCTTCGGAGAGTCTTTGAGGATGAGGCCAATGTCAAAGGCCGCTCGTTAATGATGAATGAGTTCCCATAAGCTTTTGCCTTAGCTAAAGAAGGCGACTAGGCGTATGACCCTCTAAGAGTCATGTGTATTGGGCTGATGTCCGGTTCGAGCGTATAACCTTGGTGAAGGTTGTGTGCTACAACCAATCATTCGGCGAGGGGGTGTCCTGACGATTGGATGAGACGAGGACATTTACACTAAAGTGACTCAAGCCGAGGAGATATGAATTTGCATGCTTTATTCACAAAGTTTCCACTAGTCATATTTACACCATTGACAATACATTTAGATGTCTTCGACATTCCAAGTGTGAGGCCACTGGTCTTTCATTCACTAACAGAGCATGGGCAGGTAGGCAGAGGCTTCTCATATTCTCTAGTGGCCTAGCCGAAGGCTTGGATGAAGGTGCATTTGATCAAGTGGTCTGCTAATGCTGGTGCTTTCATGGTGGGCTCGACCCGACTTGTATTGTCTCCTCGGGCTTGGCCTCAGCTTGTTGGTTCGTCCCTAACGCCATGCCCTTCCCAATGGTAAGGCTCCTCAGTTCTTGCCTTTTAGCGTTGCAGTGTAGCACTGCCTGGCAATTTGTCGGTCCCCCTAACTACTCCCACGCCATGCTCAGTAGGAAACTTCATAGCGAGGTGATAGGACAAGATGGTTGCCTTGAGTGCATGAAGGGCCGACCTCCTTATGATAGCATTATATGGGGAGCCTATCTTCACACCAAAGAGCTTGGTCATCTGTGTGACTTGCCGAGTCTTGGTCCCTATCGTGACTGGTAGGGTTATCTTCCCCTCGGGCTTAATGACTGCTCTAGAGAATCCTACTAGTGGCATGTCTGCAGGTTGCAACTGATATGGCACCGATTACATCTTCTCATACGTGTTGTAGAACAAAATATTGGCCGAGGAGTTGTTGTCTACGAGGACTCTCCTCACAACATAGTTGGCGATGGTGATAGACACCACCAACATGTCGTTGTGGGGTAGTGAGATCCCTTGTAGGTCGTCGTCGGTGAAGGAGATGGCGTCTTCCGGCCTTAGTCCTTTAGGTGTCGATCTCTGGATGTTAAATTGTCGAGCGTATGCATTTTCACTGAGGCCGATCCCCCAACAATGACATCAGTAACTCTAGCCAAGGGGGGATGGGCTTGGGACCCGACCTCCATTGTCGATATGAGGACAAGACACCGGTATCGCCTTCGACATACTCTTTTAGGTGCCCGTGGAGGATGAGGGACTCGATTTTATCACAGAGTTCGTAATAGTCTTTGGTATTGTGGATGGTGCCACGGTAGTACTTGTAGTACTTCCTGGGGTTATCTCTTTTGGGATTCAATTTTAGTTTGGCCGGCCACCTCATATATTCCTCCTTCCCTACTTGCATCAGTATATGTATTCGGGAGGAGTTCATAGGCGTATTTTATTGAAGGAAGGGGTCGATAGCCTCTTTTTATTGTCTTTGTTGGTGTGGTCATGGCCGCGGCCTTCCCTGTCCTTCATCTTCTTGTCCGTGACCCCTCAGTTGGTCTCAACCTTTGGTTCTTGGAGGCGCTCATTGGCCTCGACCTCCTTGACGGCAATGTACTTTTGTGATTTCTTCAATAACTCAGCCTTATTCTTAGGTGGGGTCTTGGAGATGGGACCATTTGAGGGGTCCGGGCCGAAAATCGTTGATGGCTGCATGCATGGATACCGAGGGGTCAATGTCTCTTACTTCGAGCTTTTCCCACTTGAACCGGTCAATGTATGCCCGAAAGCTTCTTTCACGCTTCTGCTTGATTGACATAAGAGATACGACGGTCTTCTAACACCGTCGATTGCTGACGAAGTGGGAGAGGAGGATGTCGGCAAACTGGTCACAGGAGTTGGGCTGAGGGGGAGCATGAAGAACCGTCTGCGCACTGCTCCCTTGAAAGTGGCTTGGAAGGCTTGGCACATTAGGGCATCAAAGTACCCATAGAGGAGCATGAGTGCCTTGAAGCTCTCCAAGTGGTCATCTGGGTCTGTGCTCCCACCGTAAGTCTCTAGAGTGGGAGCATTGAAGTGAAGTGAGAGCAACTCCGAGGTGATGGAGTCAATCCGGGTGGACAAGGGGTTCTCACCGGTGGAGGCATCACCTCGGCCCTCCTTCACCAGCCAGATTTGATATTGGATTGCGCCTATATGCACTTGATGGTCACTGAGTCATCGATCGATGGGGGCTTGGACCTCGTCCAGGTTCAATGGGTCGGCCCTGTTTTCCAGAGTGCTCATATGCTGGCACGTCATGAACCTTGCGAGCTTGGAGATCGTTGAGAAGATCGCGAAGATCTAACACTGGTGAGGGAGAGGTGTAGCATCGGCCTCTAGCCCTCGAAGGAGGGCTGTAGTGGCTAGAATGCCCACCATCGTCCTAGTTATCATGGGGAGCCAAGAGGTCTTTGACGGGGGCTTGCTAGCCCATTGACTGTTGTTGTTGGACATTGAGGGGTCAGCCCTCCCGGGGCCGATCGGGCATTGGCCTAGTGGTACATGAGTGGAGTGTCCATTGTATTGCCCCTGGCTTTCGACGAGGTGACCACCGTGCGGGCAGCCTCTTGTTGGATGCCCCACCTCGTCCAATCTTTGGGCTTGGTTGTCTAGCCTGTCGAGGATTAGTTTGAATTGGTCCATAGTAACTAAATTATGAGCATTCTGAGTGTGGTCTTACTTATCGACCATGTTAGATATTTGATTAATTAAGTTAAGTTTTTCCTTAAAGCAAAGTCTTGCAAAATTCACATAGATGATGCCAATTGTTACTACCAAAGATGGGGCTGAGGGCAATAAGAGAAATTTGATGGTATTCGATGGCGACGAACTCGACCTATAAGTAGGAGGAGAATACACATCACCAACTTAGTCCTTAATTGCCAAGGATAATTCTCATGGGATTCTGAATGCAAGGGGTAAGTATGAATAAATGTCTTTACCTTGAGATGAACACCTATTTTTATAGCTGACCATGCCTTGGAGTGGTTGGAGGAAGTTGGTGATATGCGGATCACATGGCACAATCCGAGGCTTGTCAAATTACCTACATCAATATATATTATATATGTATAAATTAAAAGTAATTAGTTTTTTATTTTTTAAACTTTATCGGTGGCAGGTTAAATCCGAATTCGATCATATTACAGTCGAGTCATAGAATACATACACGTGAAAGGAGTACTCACGTGTATGTTGAGATGGATGAGGTCTGACTACTACTTTTTCTCATTCGATGCCCTAGCGCCTGCGACGAACAAGCAGAGAGAGCCGTCACTCCCACTGTTGCAGGTGATATGCTCGTCAAACTATTTCTTTCCCGTTCGATTCAGCTTTCTGTTCCTGCATTGTTCTCTTTAATGGTTGACCCTCTCTCTCTCTCTCTTCCCCATGTCTGCGTCTCTCTGCATCTCTTTCTCACTCTGTCTCTTTCTTTCTATCTTGATTCATTTCACCACCTTTGTTGTTGAATGATAAATGAAGTTATGGATCTTGTCTTATTTATATATTCCAAAAGTTCTGCTTAATGTTGAAAATCTTCTTAGATACTTGGATATTATAGGCAAAATTGTTGTCTGTGTTAATTTATTAAGTGATTCAAGGCTTTCTTCAAATTATAGATGCACAGTTAGATGTGACTCACAGATCGGATCCATTTTTCCTCAACATAGAGGGATTATCTGTTTTCACTGGAGTACTGAACTAAGGAGGAAAATACCTCTGCTGCATCTACGAGTTCAGCACAAACCCGAAATGTATATCTGTTTTAACTTGAAGTTCGACTAGCCATGTACTTAATTATAAACCTGGAATACATCCATCACGCTCTTGCAGTATTGCTGCATCTATAGTTTGCTTCCATGGATAGAATTACTTTATAATATGGGACTATGTGAATTTCAAGCAACCGATTGTGCGTACAACAATGCAGTGCATGTCTAGTGACTCCGGTCTCCAGGAACAAACACTGCAGATCCAGGTGTTTCTTGCCTGGATATTTGCCCACGTCTAGATATACAACTATACATGCAAGTAACCTGAACTTCATTGTACCTAGTCTGTCTCATTGCACCATATAACTGAATCAGAAAAAAAATGTTGGATTTAATTTGAGGAAGAAACAGCTAGATTCTTATCCCATTATGTCATAATGAGTGGTCTCAACACAGACATACACACTCAACATAAAACTATAAATTATACAATAGAAGACAGGTATATCTGGAGTGCAGACATCCTCCACATTTAATAAGCAATGATTTCATTGTGTGGCATCTGAATGATATTCCAAAGAAGAAAATTCCACTTTTGAATTGTTGATCTCTTTTCCTTTTACTGTAACCTTTAGATTATATATATTTTACATGAAGGTCAGAAAAAAATCAATAGCTACAGAAAGGCAGTACAAAGCAAAATTAAAGTTGATACATGATCAATATAAACAAATTCACATGAACCCATATCTTGAACTAAGGCAGCATTATGAATCTTCCATTTTCATTATTTATTTCCATGTTTTCACTTCACATGAAGAGTTTTTCACTCTTCCGTATATGGTTTTTTTCCCTCCTTGTATCAGCATTATGAATCTGGAGCTCATTTCTTGATCCTGAAACTCTGGAGAAGAAAAAATATCTCCAGATTTAAGAAGTAACGGAGGAGGGCCAAATCTAAGGATACTTAGACTAGTTAGTAGTTTCATGGTGGAAAAGGAACAATAAGTAGGCATGTAGACATATGAACGTATTTGCAAGCCTGCAATTTATTACTGAGAAGTAGTGCATTGCATCTTTAATAAGCGGAAACTAGGAGTTATCCAGAACTTAACCAATAATCACTGAAACCAATTAAAAAGAACTGGAACTGTAGAAGTAGTGCATCTTTTTAATAAATGGAAAGGATTTGTCCAGAACTTTCCCAAAACTTTTATAATTTGATTTGGGTTTGGAAACTAAGCACTCTACCTTTTTTTTTGATAAGTAAAGAGGAAATTTTATTAAAGTATATAAAAAATAAGTGATACAATGATCTTCCCACACAGAGGCATGAGGTGCAGCCTCAAAGTACCAAAAGATTATAGTTTAGCCCAGAAAAGGTTATTCCTATGCACCCATTGCTTAGCTAGACAATCAGGTAGCCCATTTGCCGATCTCCTTTCCCATTGAACATTGTCATGTTAGAAATGAGCCATTTAAACCTCTTCATCTCTCTCATTTAGGCCCAAACAACAGGTTCCAGAGACTTTAGCCAACTAATAACCAACCTGGAACCCCCCTGCCTTAATAAGTAATCTGTCAACACTCCTTAGCCAATTGTACCCCTACAAAACATCTTGAATCTCAACTCTGGTTGAATCCCCCACACCTAGCGGACCCAAGAATATAGCAACTGTGTTGCCAGTTACATCTCGGAACACCCCTCCTACTCCTGAAGGCTTGGGTTCCTAGACTACTACCATCAAAGTTGAATTTAATGAAGTCGTCTTCAGGAGCCCATTTTATCAGAGGCTTGACCTGTTGACCATTAACGCTGAGCTCCTTGCTATTGCTCCCCAATTCCTCCATAGATCATCAAAGGAAACTAGAGAGAAAATATCTAGTGCTTTGGCTCATAGAATGGCCCTACTAAAAATGCAATCCCAGATATCCTCATCATTCTTTTCCTTATCATTAAAAATTCTGGCATTCCTCTCCTCGCAAATTGTCCTGACCAACGCTGCTCTAGTACATCTCCTCAAGATTTTGTCCCTTCTCTTAGGCCACTTGAAAATGGTAGGGTCGGAGAGATCACAAATTTGTAGCAGCAAAAACCACTTGCACTCAAAAAAGATCAAACAACCTTTCCCACAAGTTGGCAGCAATAGGGCACAAGACAAGAAGATGGTAACAACTCTCACTATTGGCTTTACACAAGGTACACCAGCCCGAGGAGAGATAGATGTATGGTCTTTTTCTCTGTAGATTGTCCAGGGTATTTAGCTTCCCATGAAATGCTTCCTAGCAAAGAGCTTAAACCGTGGGAGGGATAGTGATGGGGATCAACTTAAGGCGTATAAAAAGAGAACCAAAGCTGATCCTATGCTTATTTAGCATCATTATGATGATGTGGGGCCCACATGGGAGCTGGGTTAGCTGTTGGACAGGACTTATTTGACTTTCTTATATTTCTGGACAGTAAGGGTAATTTTGTAATTTTGCTTGTTGGGGGGGGGGTGTGGTTATGTTTGACAATAGGTCTTAGTCTATTAATTTCCATTTGTTTAGCTTTATGTTTGTAATTGTTTGTGGCAAGTTTCTTCCTTTTGAAGCTTCTTTCTTATTAAGCTTGTAAGGCTCATTCGGAGAACATTTTTGCCAATGAACAAAGAAGTTCTGTACAGAATCTGGTGTGATTTCCCTACCCTTAAGTGTGATTACCTAGGGTTTTCATCTTATTTTTATCTTTTCTCTTCTCTTCTTTTTTTGTACGTTGTTTGTTATACACATCTAGACCTAGGTTGCAAGAATAGTTTTAAATCACGAAGATCTTGCACGGTTGCACCAATTTGCTATCAGAGAAGGGATCAACACTATGACAACATGTAGCGAGAAGAACTTTAGAGGGAGATTGAATGATAGGAAATGGGATGATTTCATTTACATGATCATGGAAAGGGTTGATGCCTTGGAAGCTCAACTGCTCAAGTCAAGGAGTTACAGCAAGGTTCTCAACAGATTGTCCGTAGCTTTTCCTTATTCTCCTTAGCAATGTTGTTAATCTAGTGGACCATTCAGATTGTCCATATTGTCACTCGACATGGCAATTCATTCACATGTGACACTGCAGTGTGAAGACTGGTCGACCTTTGAACTATGAAGGAAGTGATAGTGAATCTGGATGGGGAAGTTAGAGATCGACTCAGATTACTGGAGCGCAGCTTGGTTGGTCGCTTTGTTAATTCCAACCCAGAAGTGGAGAAGATTGAGTGGGCTGATGCTGAATGGCGACTTGAGAAACCTTTTCGGGTGAGAAGATTGATTGTTGGTTTTTTTCTGTTCACTTTCAAAGGTGACGAGGCAAGCAATGTCCTGATGAGAGAATAGAATTTGATTCGAGTGCCTGACCTCAAAATTGGGAGATAGAATCCTTTAGTTGGAGCTATTAGAAATTTGGGTCCTTTAAACATGGTAAGGATGTGGAGGATTTAGGCTTGTTGGTTCTAGAACACTTTCTTGGAAAAACTTGTTTGCTACTCAATTTTAATTGAAGTTGAAGAGATCTACCTTGTTCCTACTTCCCTGTCTCTTCGGTTTGCTAGTGAAGTTTTCATGGATTGTCTACATTTTATAGGCGTTTTATTCAGAATTTCAGCACAATAATGGCACCCGTAACTGATTGCATGAAGAAGGGCTAGTTTTTATGGTCTAATGCAACAACCAAAGCTTTCGAAGAGATCAAAAAGAGACTAACAGACAGCAGCACCAGTCCTTCGTCTCCTAGACTTTTCAAGGGTCTTTGAAGTACCTTGTGATGCCTCTCATGTTGGGATTGGAGGAACTCTTAGCCACGAGGGTCACCCGATGGCTTTCTTTAGTGAGAAACTTTAATAAAGCCATGCAAAAATACAACACCTATGACAAGGAACTTTTACGTTGAAGTGCATGCTTTGCGTTATTGGCGACACTATCTTATTCCCAAAGATTGTTCTCTTTTCTGATCATGAGGCCTTGAAGCACATCAATTCTCAAAAGAGGATGAATCAATGACATGCCAAATGGGTTGCACTCCTCCAAGAATACAATTTTGTGATCAAACACAAGGCTGGGAAGGAGAATAAAGTAGCTGCTGCACTTAGCCAAGTGGTCTATGTCCTCTCTACTATGGTTGTACAAGTGGTAGGCTTTGATGTGCTCAAAAGAGACTACCCTACATGTCGAGATTTCAACATTATCTATGTAGATTTGCAGCCAGGAAAGCAAGCAACATACCCAGAATTTTCATTACATGATGGTTTTTTCTTCGAAGGGACTCATTTGTGTCTATCCAATACCTCACTTCGGGAAGAGATAATTTGGGAACTACATGTAGGGGATGTTGCAGGTCATTTTGGAAGGGACAAAACCACTGCCATGGTTGAAGATCGTCTCTATTGGCCAAGACTCAAAAGGGATGTAGCTAAGGTTATCAAGCAACGTTGTGTATGTTAGCTAGCAAAGGGAAGAAAACATAATGATGGTTTGTACACTCCACTTATTGTTCCACATTCTCCTTGGCAAGACCTTAGCATGGATTTTATTCTAGGCCTCCCTAAGACACTCTACGGGGGCATGATTCCATCTATGTTGTCTTTATTGCTTCTCTAAAATGGCTCATTTCATTCCTT